TCCTCAAGGCTACATGTGGCACCCTAGGTCCTCAAATATGGCCCTCAGTCAAAGGGCCAAAGGTTCCCCACCCCTGCTCTAGGCGTTCAAGTCCTTCAAGAGTCTATACCCACCTTATGAGGCTTCCTTCTGGGTGAGAAGTTGGTGAAGCCACAAAATTTCCTTAGTGACATGTGATTAAAAGGTCAATTCAACATTTTTGCCTATGTGGTTCTATTCTTGTAGATAATTATTATTTTAGTCTTTGGATGATTTGGAACATTCTTTGGCTTCAAAACTACAGAAAGCCATTATCTCAGAATAATAAAAATTGTAGGGGTCTCAAAATGCAAAACACATGGTGTGCATAAACCAACTGCAGAAGGGTATAAGGAACATTACTAAAGATGTTTATGATTGGAAAAGAGGTGGTTCTTTCATGTACTAAGAGAAAGAGATAACAAAGTGATGGACAGCCCCCAGTACCTTTAAATTATTTGTTTCGAAAATAAACTAATTTCTCTAATGAGTTGCCTAGATCCTCTCTGGAGTTCCTACAGAAGGGCATGGACAAGAACTTTCTAAAGTTAGCTTTGTTTCCCAGAACAGGTGGGTGGACTTTTCCTACCAACCTACATCCTCCACCCAGTCTGTTATTTTCTCAAACTGAACCCAATAGACATAAGAAACAAGAAAAATAGTGAGTTCATTCTTACTGAGTTGCTTGGAATCCTAGAATTAAAAATCTGAGAATCATCGATGCTCACTCTTCAAGGAATTTTTTTTATAGTATACCTTATTAATAAAAAAGGGAAAACGTACCCACTACATGCATCTTGGGAAACGATCATATCTAAGAATTGGAGGAGAGGTGGGATATCCTTTCCACTTTCCCATCTTACTCCCTCTCTCCCTCACCGGTGTTGGTCCACACGTAGTTTGGGAGTGAGCAAGAGGGAATCAGGAATCACTTCCAAGCTGGGTGAGTAGAAAGCAGTCGAAAGAGGTAATCTCATGATAGGCTGGGCTCTACCTGGGGTGAGCAGGGGTTTGGATGGGATGCCTTAGTCAAGGCTAGGGACAAGGGCATCCTAGGAAGGACAAAGTAGAAGATATTTGGGTTTCCAAGCTATGATCAAACCCAAGCCTCTTTGCTGCTTTTCCACCGCCTGGTCTAAGGGACGACGCTAGAACTTTGGGTGCACTTGGTGCCAGGGTGGGCTGGGGAATTGAGATTCAAGGTGGCCTGGGCAGAAGCTGGCCAGCAGGGCTGTCACCATTACTCCCTAAGCACCTGCACAGCGGTCTCTGTGAGGCTTTTGAGAAACTCTCACCCAACCCACTGCATCCTAATGCCGTGAAGTTACCAGGCAGGCCTCCCTTCTTAGGGCTAAGGGCCCTAGAAGTTCGTGGGAAGGAGCCCTGAAAGTTCACTTTGGGGCCCTTGAGGATAAGGAACAATAGAAGGGAAGGAAGAGGATTTATAGAAAGTCCTTCAACCAGCCCCCGCTGACTGCTGATTCTAATCTAAAGTGATGAGGGGGCCAAGCAGCCGCACTCCCCACCCACTTCATCTGTGGGGAGGGCTTAAGGTCACTTCTGCTTTTCCCTTATTCTACGCCTGTGCTCGCAACTGGCCTGTACTGCCCCTATCCCTGCCTCTCTGTCTCTGTCTCTGTCCCTGCCCCTGCTCCAGACCGCAAATGCCTGGGAGATTTGCTTTTAGCTCTTAACCCTTTGCTCTATTTCTCCTCAGTAATGGGGACAAGAGGGTTAAGAGTCTTAATTCTTTACCATCCAGGCACATCTGAGCTTATTTTGGAGACCAACAAATCAGCATTCGCTGTAAACAGAACTGCCTGGTCCTGGGGCCCAGCCATTCAGAAATGGTCCTGGGGGGAAAAATTTAACCGTGAGAAGAGAGTTAAGGGAGCAGACAATCTGCAGGTGGTTCTAAGTCTGGTTCTCTGAATTTGGATGGAGAGAAAAATCAAATCTTAATTTTCACTACTCTCAAAGTAAAATTTAGCATTTCCTCCAATTGGGGGGGACCTTCTGAGAAGGGGTCCATAGGCTTCACCAAACTGACAAGCGAGTCCTTGACACAAAAAAAAGATTAAGAACTCGATCGCGAGTGAGCCACCAGGGAATCAGAGCACCTGCCAGGGAAGATTTCTGCAGTGAGAGAACTCTAAGGTAATGCTGAGTGCTCAAAGATTGCACACCCTAGAGGCATCAGGTAAAAATGAAGTCCCAGAGATGGGGGATAGCTAGGTCCAGTCCAACCTGGGCCCAGTCCCCCTGCCCCCTGGGACAAGGGGAAACGCAAAAATGACTTGGAAACCAAATAACCAAAATACAGTTAGTCCCTCCGCTGATATAAAGTCTCTTCGTGCACTGGTGAATAGAGCTCTGGAATTGGAGTTAGAAGACTTGGGTTCACATTCCCTCTCGGCCACTATATTGCAGATGTGACCATGGGCAAGTAAGTCATTTAACTTTTCTGAGCCTCAGTTTCCTCATGGAGCTTGTGATGCCTTCCCTCTTAGGCCTGCTGCGAGACTCAAATGAGATAATGTATGTAAAGTGCTTTATATAAGTTAATGCATAACGAGATAATGTACTTAAGTCCGGGCGGCTGCGTGGAAGACACGAGGGAGTGAGATCAGTATGAGTATGAAAAAGGATCAGTGGATGGATGGGGAAGGAACTGAGCAGCAGGAGGGATATGGAGTGGAGGCTAGGAAAAACAGAGTTAGCCATTTAGGGCATCCTAGGTAAAACGTATAGCAAATAAAAGCTTAAACATAAGCCAGTAATAGCTTACATCACAAATACCTCACGAGGTCGGTCACTCACAGGGCAAATATTATTTGAGCTGAAAGGGTCAGAGAAGTGAGCGCGGCTACTGAGTGGCAGAGCAGGAACTCGAACCCAGCTCTTCTGGCTCGGAGACTGCAATGCACTTTCTACTCCCCCCACTCTAGATCAAAAACTCCGAGGACGTTGATTTCTGTCGCAAGTTCTCGAATTCCTCCCAGAAAGCCGCGGATGGTGACTGCAAGACCCTGGCACGTTCTGTTGTGCCTAAAACTCCTTTCTTAATTCGAACTCTCACTCCTCCACCTCTTCTCAAAGTCATTATCGCAGTTACGAGGACCGGGCCATCTGGCTTTGTGCTGGAGGTGGGAAGAGAAGAGTTCTGATTGGAGATTTTTTTTGAGAGCAAACCAAAAAAAGAAATAAGCATTTTCATTCCACAGGCCTCGGGGGATGAAAATCCCCGGTGCAGCAATTTGGAGGTAACTTGGTCCAACTCAGCCACTACTAGGAGTCCTTGTTGGGAGGTCCCCTAACCCCCGCACCCCTCCGCTAGTCTCCACCTTCCTCTCTCATAACTTGCCAGCACGTGCCTAAGGAGCTCTCCCAATCCATCTCCCCAACCGGGCCCCAGTAGCTGTCAGAAGTGAAGACATGGGGGGCGGGGCGGGAGATTTGGAGGGTGGCATCTTTAGGAAGGTGTGACCCGAGAGGTTGAGGGACAGAGGGTGGGAGTGGGAGGTTGTAGAGTAGAGAGTGAGAGGCCGGCCTGCCGCATGGAGAATGGAGGGGACGTTATGAGCTGCGGAATCCACTGGAATCGGCCTCAGAGGGAGGCACCGCCTTTCCAAGTCCCGCATCCCTTCAGCACCGCCCTCCACCGCCCCTCCCCCCCTCCCCCCCAATTTATCTGAGCGAGCTGCTGCCTGGGCGGTCAACTGAGATTCCGAGAGCTCCTCGCCCTCCCTCCCCCTCCTCCTCTTCCCTTTCCCTCTTTTCTCCAGCCCTACATCCCCGCTGCAAACCCGGCGCTGTCCCCTCCCCGTTACCCCTTCCCCCGCCCCCTTCTGTAAAAGCGAAATTGCTAAACTTGTAGCAAGAATGACCCCGCATTCAGGCCGCCGCCTCCCGCTGAACCTCTCTGCTCCCGGCTCGGCCGTGGCCTTAATCAGTGCGCCCTTCCCTGCTTCCCGCCCCAACCTCGGCCCCCCCCCACCCAACCTCCCCCTTTCCACCGAGCTCACAAAAAGTGGGGAACAAAACCCCCGCGCATTTCTCTGTCCCTCTGTTCAGTAGACTGCTGCACAAAGCCCCCGCTCTGAGAAGCAATAGGGGAGCTCTGGGGGGACGTCAATCCAGACGCGCTGGGGTTTTTGTTCGTGCAGTGGACCTCGCCTTCCTACCACACCTTTTGTTCTGGACTCCAATAAAAAGCCATTCTTTCCGCACCTTCCCGGCCCGGAGCCGCCTTTCAGTTTGGCCCGGCCCCACAATGGCGCGGCTCTCTAATGCCTCCCCATTCTCCCGCCTTGGCACGCTCACAATCGGGCCGTGTGGCAGGGCTGCCCTCGCACAGACATTCTCCGCAAGTGACTGGGAGCCCGACAATGCCTCGGCTCCCGCGGAAAGAGCAGAGTCCGGCCCTACCAGGGTTGGGGAGGGGGGTGGGGTAAGGGGAGTAGGGAGAGAGAAGAGAAACTATGGGAGGGGGGGACGTGGGCAGTAGCGGGATAAAGCACCCCCACCTTGGGTGTCAGGGTCGGCGGAGAAGGGAGGAGCAGCTTTCCGGCTGGGTTCCGGCCTTGTGGAGGAGGTGGAGGCGATTTTTCCAGCTACTCCCGAGCCTCTCGGAGCCTATGACTCTATTGAGTTTTAAGGCCGAGAGCCTGAGTCCCGAGTTCAACGGCTCCATCTCAGAGTGGGATCGTCTATAAGACTGGGGAGGGCAGGGAGACGAGAATTGAGGTCCAGGGGCAGCAGAAAGGTCGGAATCTTTGGCTGCCCAGTGCAGCTGAAATTATATATACTTTTAAAAGAGGATGGGGAGTCACCGTGACAGGGGCCCCATTTTGCCCCTAAGCATTCTACGCGGCAGGACTTTGGAAAGGCTATGGAGAGGGATGAAACCCTCATTTCTCAGTTCCCTTTTTACAATAGATTTAATTTCCTATTTGAGTCAATAAAATTTCCGTAGCCGAATATGGATTTGGAAATATTGCACCTTCTTTATTAATTCCTGTAGTGTATGGCAGCTGGTGTGTACACGGTGTGTATATAGGTATATATATTTATAATATGTGCTGGATACAGAATATGGAATAGAAAAGAAACAAAGTAACACCTTCCAGGGCGCCACGGGCTACTCAAATTGTTTAACCCACGAAACCCTTTGATCTGGTAGCCTGCTCTGCTAATCTGCAAATTGGACTGGAAAACTCAGGAGTCCTGGCTGGCGCCTGCCCTGGAGCAGCCCTGGAGGGGAGGCCGAGGACTCTCTTGCAGCCTCCGGAGAGGTGGGCAAGGATGCTCTTAAGACTTACTCCTTTCTTGCACTCCTACCCGCCCCCCCCACCCCGCCCCAGCCCGTCAAATCTGCCTGGGGGTTATAGAATGGAGGGGGCAGGGCACTACGGAAAAGGATTGTTAAAAGGCTTGTTAAAGGACTGTTGTGTTTGTGGGGGTGTGGAGATAGGTCTTTTTCTGAAACCAGATTAGGCTGAGAGCTCAGAAAGGTAGCAAAGTGAGAGGAGTGAGTATGGGGTCAGGTCGCTCATTGCCAGTTTCTCCCCTTCATTTCTTTTTTCTTTCCTCGCTAATGCTAATTCTTCGTGCAAGGAGAAGGAAGGCTGGGGAAAAGGAGAATTCCTTTGGGTCTGGCACTTCGTGAGGAGTGCATCCCATCTCTCCCCGCCCTGGGATGCAGGCTGGAAAGAGCAGCCCAGCCTCCAGCCTGTTCTTTGAGCTTAACTGCGGTTGGCCTCAAACAAGTCGCTGTTACATAGTATAGCTTAAGTATATATGTATAGACCATTGTTTCTCCTCTATGCCAAATACAATCTGATGTAGTAGAAATGGGGAGCCCTGCTTGTCCTCTCTGTCCCCACTATTTCCGGTCTCGAGTCAGCTGCACTTTGAGCCCTGGGGCGGGGAGATTTCTTTAGGGAGGGGACGCTTCCAGGTCCATCTTCCCCGGCCAGGTCTTTCCCGCCCTTCAGTCTGAAGAATACCCTGCAGGCTGCTCCGGAGCCTCCTTGCCTGCCCCTACCAGGCTCGGATGCCCTGCAAGGTGCCTTGGGCGCAGGTGGGCACTGCGCTGCCCTGGTGCAGGCTTTGGAGGGGCTGCGCGGCGCCCCCGAAGCCTCCCAGGTTGCTCACGTTCACAAAGGGGCCGCCTCCTGCCGCGTTGCAGGCTGGCGGGATGGCGGCGGCTGCGGCCGCGCCGCTGCTCCCGGGGTAAGTGCAGCCGTAGTTGCCGCTATAGGCGGCGGCCGCGGCGGCGGCGGCGGCCGAGTTCCCGTAGCCGTAGCTCGGGAAGCCGTTATAGGAGTAAGGGCTGGCTCCCACGCTATATGGAGCGTTGTAACTCTGCGCCCCACTGATGCAGGGCTTCCCGTCCCGCACCAACACTGGCACCGCCACCCTCCTGGGAGGCGGCGGGTGTGGGTGCGTCCCCATCTCCAAGGACTTGTCCTGACGCTGCCTCTTACACTTATACCTCCGGTTCTGAAACCAGATCTTCACCTGTGTAGATGTGAGCTTTAGGCTACTGGCGAGATGCTCCCGCTCTGGCGCAGACAAATACCTCTGTTGCTTAAATCTCCTTTCCAGCTCGAAAACCTGAGCCTGAGAGAAGAGGACCCTGGGCTTTCTCCGGCTTCGCTGCTTCGGCCTCTCGCTTTCCTCGGCCTTACACTCTCCAGCCTCCAGCGGCTTCTTCAGCGGGCAGCTTTCTGAGGAAGGAGCAAAAACAAGAGTGTTCCTTAGCGTCCCCCTCAATCAGCCTTGAAGCACCATCTGCGCAGGAGGGACCATCAGGGGATCGGTGTGCTAGTGTGTGCCTGTATCTGGGACCGTTTGTGACTCTGAGTACAATACTGGGGCAAGGGAATGCTTTCCTGTACTTGAAGTGTGCATCACCCCAAGCCTGTGTATATGATATTGTGCACTTACAATTAAGGGCAATGTTTGTATAGTATGCAAGTGGGTTGTGAGATGTGTTTGTATTTACACTTTGGGGTCTTCGTGAATAGGCTGCGTACTGCTGCACAAGTAAGAATCTTAGTGGTTAGAAATTTCTGGGTGAATTTCCAGTGGCCATTATCACAAGAAGCAGACAAACCCACAGAGGGGTGTGTGTGTGTGTGTGTGTGGTCAGCTGCAGGTAGGTTTCAGGCCCAGGTTTACTGCCAGCTCCACACCAGACTCTCCTTAGGGAAGCAACAGGGCCCAAGTTCTTCATTTAAAAGGGGGCTGGCCTGGATGACCTTTAACATCTCTTTTAGTTCATCCCTTTCAGTGTGACTATGATTCTATGCTTCTGACAAAGTCTCCCCAGAAATCTTATGAGGGATCTCGCTGAAGCTCTTTCGCCAGAGCCCAGTAGAATGGTCCCTGGGGAAGTCAGGGGCATCTTCTACAGTGACACAAAGCAAAGCTCTGAGAGTTTTCAGCTAAGGCTAAATAAAGCTTGAAGGCTGTACTCTACAAGGCCCAGGCCTGGAGTTGTCTGTTCACACCACCTCCTAACAGCCCAGGGGCTGCGATAACGGAGCTCCCCAAATAGACCAGTTCTGGCCTCCGTATCGGCCTTGTGGTTACTGAGTAGGAGCGCCCAGGCTGCCCCTGGGGCAGGAGACCGACAGTCTGTGGGCGTGAGAACACCTCTCTGATTCTGAGGGATAGCGGAAAGAAGAAGGAGCCTCCTTTTTCTATTGCGCTAAATTATCAGCTTCGGGAAGGGAAAAACAACAACTACGAATAGCAGGGCAAGTTCTCAGACCGGGGGCAAGAAGCCTGCTGGCAGCTACAGCGTCGGTGGCATTGCTCTCTACCGGACCCCCCAGGCTCCCGGGAACGCGCCCTTCCCCACACTTGCGGTTTGCAGGGTGACAGCCTCGCTCTCCAGTCTGCGGCTGAGGTTTTCGGGGTCACCTCTTCCCCCAACCCCCGCCCCTTGCTCCCTCGCAGGTACCTGCGTTGTGTCGGAGCTGTCGCTGCACAGGACTGGGGCCTGACCCCCACCAAAGGCTAAAGGAGCGGGAGGCCCTGCTGGCAGTTTATGGGAGGTGTGCGGGCCTCCGCCTTTGTTCCAGGTGTGCGGGCGCTTTTCCTGCCCCCTCTACTCACTCTGGCTCCTGTCCCTCACGACCCCGTCGGCCTCCTCTTCTTGGTCCTTGGGCCCGCAGGAGCCGCGGAGGACCGTGTGGACATAGCTCTCGGGACAGATTCCCGTCTCCCCGTGGCTCTCGGCTGCGGCTATTGAGTTTAAATAGGGCAGTTTCTCTCCCTCCTCCACTTCCTCCCCCCCATCAGAAAATTGGGCCGCCTCCCCCGCTGCCAACATGCAGGAGGAGGCCGAATGGAAATGCTGCTCCAAGTCCGTCTGCAAGTGCCCGCCGTGGTACTGTTGTTGCTGCTGCTCCAGATTCAAAATGTCTTTGACAGAGAAAGGTGTGGAAGTGACCGGGCTTGGTAACATCATCAGAGCAACTTAATTGCTCAAAGCAAATACTCAATAAATCCTCGACGGAGGGGCGGGGAAGTGGTTCTTGCTGTCCTCCTGCCTCTACCTCTGCTGCCGAATAGGACTTTTGACAAACGATGGACGAGGTCCTGCTGCAGTCTAAATTGCCTCCATTAGCCTGGAACCGGGGGTCTGGGTTTTGTTACAGCCACTGCAGGGACTAGGAGTAGGGCTCAGAAGCCGCCTCTGTCCCTGGTCAAGACGTCACGGCGGGGGCTGGGCCTGTTCCCCGGGCTTCTTCTCTATTGGCTTAGGTGGAAGCTAGCCACGCCCCCACTGCCCCTTCCAGAGAACCCGCAGTCCTACCAGAAATAGAAATTGACTGAGGAGAGAATCGGGAAAATCCATGGCTTCCTAGAGCAAGGCCCGGGCCAAGCCGCTAGGTGCAAGGCTGCTGAGGTCAGAGGGTCCAAGACTGGCCCAAACAAGCACCAACTGCTCGTGCTTTCCCCAAGGGAAAGCTGCTTGCTCCCGGCTTCCCTTAGCCCAAAAGTTCTTGATTTTTTTTTTCTTATGAAACACTTTGGTAGTCAGTCTGGTAAAACCTTCTCAGAGAATGTTTGTAAGTGCATAAAATAAAACACATAGGATTACAAAAGAAACTAATTATATAGAAATACAGTTATCAAAATATTTTTTTCACGAACCCCAGGTCTTTTGAGAACTCTTTCCTCAGTCTATTCACTCCCAGAGGAGTTTGAGGCTTCAAGCGGTAAGTTGTCTTATGATCCACATACATTCTAGCAAATTAGAAGCGAATCCGATAGATTGGAAGGAGGCAAATGGGTGTCTATCTAGATGGATATGATATAAATAATAATGGCAATAACAATTCTGTTGTAAGCCACAATACAAAAGTAGTACATTAATAAAATGTTATCTCCTTGGAGGCAAAGTTTCTTGGTTATCTTTGTAGCCACAATATCTAGCATGTATTAAGTACTGAATAGTTGGAGTGTTGAGTTAGCATGCACAGTATCATCACATAGTCAGATGTGGATAAGTGTAACTAGGCTCTATTGACTTTTCCACATGGATGAAATAAACTTATTTTCTACATATTCAAATTGTTTCACCTATGAAGTCTTAACTGACTTCATAGAATTGCAGAATATTAGAGATGGTAGGAAGCTTAGAGGTCATAAGATCACAGATTTAGATATGGAAAAGCCCATCAGAGCTCATCTAGGCTAACCAACCTTCCTATTCCACAAATGAGGAAACCAAGACAAAATAAGGTCAGGAACCTTGCCCGAGGTCACATAGGTAGTCAATGGTAGAGTTGAGAGTTACCGACATTAGCTTCAGTCCTTCTTCTAGTATATAATGCTACTTCTCAACACAGGAGGCATTCTCTCCTCTCAGATCTCTTGTCCAAATACAATTCTAGACAACATAATTCAGCACGGAAGGAGCTTGTACGGGTCTTATGTAGTTCCCTGATTGTTTCACACGTGTTAACTGTCTTCTAATGAAATCAAAAACTTGAGGGCAGGGGACTGTGTCTGCTGTATTCTGCACAATGACTAACTCTGTTTTGGCAAAGGGAGTAAAGGCGAAATATTAACTTTAATTGTCTCAGACTTTTCGTCACACATACAGAGTCTTTAACGGGAAACCAGCTGGAACTGAGACAGTCCGGTTTATAGAAAGTCCTTGTTCGCATCTGTGTTTGGAAAAAGAGGTCATCACAGCAGGGCCCGTCTAGGCCCAACTGCTTCTGCCTACTCTGTCCAGCAGCTCTGTCTAGTTTGGTGCTTTCGTAAACTCCTCCCAATTAGAGAAAGACGAAAAGTCAGCGCTAAATACTACCTGCCACCGACCTCTAGGGTAGAAATGAAGATTCTTAGGCACCAGGAAGTGCGGGATAAGAGGGAAAATGGTGCGCGAGAGGCCTAGATGAGCGGTATGGAGCTAGTTGGTGACTCGAATCAAGCAGCAGAACTACGGTGGGAGGAGGTGCTGTGCTCGGGACAGGACTAAGGCCCAGGAACTGGAAGGAAGGGGTGGGAAGTTATGTCAAAGGACTAAGAGACTAAAAGGTCTTTCTACTAAGGATCTACATTCCAATCTACCTTCGTCGGGAGCAGTTTGCTGTCGGGTCCAGGCAGGGAGAAGAATAAAGCGATCTCTCGGGAGAGAGGGCACCTTGAGAAAGCCCGTCGAGGAAGGAGTAGGGGGAGGGGAGGAGCCTGCGAAGGAGGGGGCGGAAATACCGCTGGGACCCTGCCCTTGGGGCTGCCTACGGGAGCTGGACACGTGGGTTGGGGAATGCAGGAGCCTAGAGGAGGGCGCCACGGCTGGCAGTGGCTGGGGGAAGGTGGGGGTTGGGCGGAAGAGTTTGAGGTGCGCCCTCCCGAGTGGGCGGAGCTCAGCAAACGGGGAGGGAGCGCCCCAAAGCGCAGCATCTGATAAATGTTTTGTTTCTATTTAAAATAATAATGAAGATACATGCTCAAAAGTCCGACAAAGTCCAATGTCTTTTTTTTTTTTTAAACGAACCGTCTATGGACTCTTTTTCCCCTTCAGATTCTAACATGGGTCTTGCATGGAGCTAGGGTAAGTAAGCTGCAAGAAGGAAAAGGTGGTGTTTGTTTGAAGGGAGGGGAATAGGGAAGGGCAACGGAGGAAGGACTGGGAAAGAGGGGAAGTTGGAGAAGAAAGCTCAGGCCGTGACCCCCTGGGCGACTTGAGTCGGACAACATCCTTGTGCCTGCCTGACCGCAATCTTAAATTCTTGTCTTATTTTTTGTATTGGTTCTCCATGGATTAGGGAGACGGAAGGGAGAGCAGACATGGACGGGGGTGGGGGGTGTGGAGAAAAACTAAACGACGGAAATTCTTTGCATCTCCTATAAATTTATGCATTTGTTTCTGAACCTTTTCCACTCCCGACTCTAGACACTTGAGCTACACTCCTTGAACCGGTTAGTGGGGAGCCAACCTGCCTGCGGCCGAAGCCAGGGCTACCAGAGGGGAATAGTCGCTCACCCTTACACCCAATGAACCCTGCTATCACACCCTGACCCTTGTACCTTTGCAGGGTATAGCCTACATCTACAGCCCCACTGGTCACCCCCACGCTTGCTTAATCGAGACCTCGGGCCTTCCAGTAAACTCGCTTTTCCTTTGAAGGTGCTCCACAAACTAAAGAAAGCAAAAGATCATCAGAGACGCCAACCCAGAAGGCCTCTTTCTTTCCAGCAAAACCATGCCCCCCCCCCCAATTCTGCCACCTTTGGATAGGGGGGTCAAGTCCGGGTTTGCATTGCAGGGTCAGGCTTAAGGGTTAGTGCGGGCGTGGGGAGAGGAAGGCGAACGGGAGGATGTTTTGGTTCTTTCCATCTCTTTCGAGCTCCAGCCTGAGGCAGCCTCCTGCGCGGCTTTCAGTCTCAAGCTAAGTATCCCGAGGCTCTCTAGCTGGGTGACCTGTGAGTGCATCTTTCCCAGCCCGTCTGGGAGGGAAACGAAGATCTAGAGAGCGTCAGGCAACCCTCGGGAGTGGGAGAGAAGTCCCATTCCTCTGGGGGGCCGAGACAAAACCCTAGAGAATACGGACAGGGTGCCCCACTCGCCCCTTCCCCCCAAACCACCTCAAAACTCCACCAGCTTCCCCGGTGTTAGGAGCCGCAGAGGAAGCAGACTAGAAGCAGCGGGGGAGCCGTCTGGCCTAACCCTCGGCGTTAGCGCAGCCTTCCAGATAACTAGAGGAGCTCCGAGTGGAGAAGCAAGGCTCACTCAGCCTCTGGAATCCGAACAGGGCTGAAAGCCTCAGTCGGACTCACCTAGAATTTTCTCCTCTCTGCGCATCCCTGGAATAACTTTTTGCCTGACTCCTCCTTATGAAGATTTATATTTAGCAATAACCCCCGCCCCAGATTGCCTTAACCACCCCTTTACCTCAAACCCCGCAGCCAGTTTCTTTCTCCCACAATCAGATTCTAAAAGGGTTTCGCCTTGTCCGCCTCTCCAGGGCAGAAATACATATCCCATTCTGTATTCTTTAAGGTTCCATCCACCTCCAACATTTCTCTCTTCTCTTGGAATTTATCTCGGTCTGTCTCGTCAGGCCCAACAGCATTTGCCTCAAGTCTTCATATGAGATCTGAGGGGGCCTTTGTAATAAAATAAAGGAAAGAGGCAAAGGTACCGAGTTCGATTACCTAGGCTCCCGGGCCTATGAGCTCAGAGCTTTTGGGAACCTTACTGCCTTATTTGAATACATTTGCAGTTTTAAGGTTGTGGTTTATAGAGGTTTTGAACAATTATTATAACTGTGGGAGCTGTTTCATTCTGTTGATTGTTGTATTTAATTATCACAGCTTAATATCTGATTAGATAGACTGCGATCAATTAAAGAATTGTATTTTTTAAAATTGCCATATATAACCCATTAGATGCCAATCTTTGGCTTCCACTCCACGTTTTAAATGATTACAAGTCAGATAAAGAGCTATCCTTACAAATTTAGTCAATATTTTCTTTTCTTTAATCACTGCAAATATTGGTTTTTATTTTTAAAAATAATTATTTTATAAAGCAATAGGTCATTTACCCATAGATATGTAATTAAGGATTATAATTTGTAACTCGTTTTCTTTTTGAAGGAAAAACGTTTCATTTAAATGCTCAAACATAACTATAATTATAATATACTTCGGAGAAAAGTTGCAATAAATACACAAACACGACCACAGTCGGAATATAGATACCTTCAATTATTTTCGAATGTATCATTATATTTCTCTACAAACGCTTCAGATAATTTGCTTATGCAAAGACCAAAAGGTCAAGAGTTAAATCGCTATCAGCAAATAATCAAATAATTATTCGACAACGTTTAGAAAAGTTCTTAGGAAGATCCAAAACAATTATATCGAAAACTTATTTTTTTAAGACATTTTCTACTCTCTACCTCAAAAAAAAAAAGTCATTTAAAAAACTTCTTAGACGAAAATATTCCCCCTTCAAACATAAATTAAACCCTTTTGCTAGGAGCGTTTTTTCTTTATTTTTTTCCCAAAGGGTTAGGCAAGCTTTCGAAAAATTTGGATAGCTTATAGGCAATAATTTGTCATTTATGGGAAGTGGGCAACACATTTTCTGTCATCAGATGAATGCTTTGTGTCTCATTCCGGGAAAGCATTAACCCCAACGAATTTCCATTTGCGTTTTCATTCTATTTGATCTATTTTCCTAAAGGGGCTTGAGTGTCGTAAAGTTTTTTGAGTTTTTTCCCCTGCGGTTGTCTGATTTCAATCCCTTTTGCCCGACATTTACCAGGGCAAGAGAGCGCCTAGATTTTGTTCGGAATAGGATTCCCTGCCAGACTGAATTGCAGTCTGCCCGGGAGGTAGTGATTTCTCTGTTATGTAATCTGTGTTGTTCTTTGTTAATTTCAGGAGGGGACAATTACCAGAGTTTCGATTTCATCCTGACAAAGAAAGTCGACTTCTATTTGTACAAGTCTTCCATTAATTACCCCAAAGAAGACTATATTAAAAGAAAAATA